CTTGCTCGACTACGGTGTTTATGGAGGTGTACACCACTTCATTCCCCTCAATTTCCGAGAGAATGCTTTCATTGATTGCTGCAGCTTGATCATTTTTAGGCGTCAAAATGGCCCGCTCGCATGCCCAAGAATTCGGCTGGTGCGGTATTCGACTGATATCCCCGTACACGCAGCGAATGAGTTCATATAAGGTGGATACCACTCTACCGAGAGATTCTGGGAGCACCACTGGATTTACGTTACGACGCAGGCGATCTTGTTCTACTTGTGCCGCACGCTGTTCGTCCGACCAAGTTCCCCGAATCTCTTGAATCCTGTCCCGTTCTTGTGATAGATGAGTAGACGCATCTCCAAGCAGTTCGTGGTACCGCTGCCGAGCAGCTGCACGACGTTCTTCACGCTGCTCATCTGTCTCTAAAGAACGTGACAGGGCATGCTGAGAGCGGTCTCTTCTTAAGCGGGTCTCCCGTTCTTCATAGTCTTCAATCGACCGAGAAAAAGAAGCACGGCTCCGCTGCAAACATAACCTCGCCTCTTGTTGCGTGTACGTTTCAGACGCGCGAGAATCAGCGTGGCGCTCCCGATCACTTTCCAGTCGAATTTGTCGCGCTTCGACACTCTCGCAAGATCGAGCGGCATCAGTGCGACTGCGCTGCGAACTTAGTCTCGTCTCGCGCTGCGTATACGTCTCGGATGCGCGAGACTCAGCGTGGCTCTCCCGATCGCTTTCCAAACGCGCTTGTCGCCCTTCAACACTCTCACAAGATCGAGCGACATCAGTGCGGTAGCGCTGAGAACTCAGCCTCGTCTCTCGCTGCGTGAACGTCTCTGACGCGCGTGACTTAGCATGGCGCTCTCGGTCAATTGACAGCATCATCTCATGTGCTTCTGCACTTTCCTGAGACCTAGACAATGCATTTTGAGTGCGCATGGTATCTAATCGCGACTGGCGCGCCGTACTACATTCTCCTCTTCGAGTCTTTGCAATTTGTTCACGAACAGCAGTCAACCTGGCCTCACGCTCGTCAGCGGTTTCAAGGGATCGAGCTAACCTTCTTTTTCGCGAATGGTATGACGATTGTGATAGATTAGACCGCTTTCTGGGCATTTTTACTACTAAAAGACAAATTAACACGAAGTAAACAGAATAATTTGAGAATCTCGATAACTTATAAACAACGCAGGTAACCCCCGTTTCTATAGGTTGAAGCGGCGACATCGGTACTCATAACATCACTTTTTGTGAACGAAACCATAGCGCGATCTAATTCGACGCCAACACCATCTAGTTAGGAAAATGGAAACATTTTTATATGGTAAACAATAATAATTTCTCAATTACGACTGAATACGTTTTCAACGTGAAAAAAACGTAACCATATGAATAAAAAATAAATGCTAGTTCTTCATGACACCTATGTTTATAATTATACACAAAAATATTGTATGAATTCCGAAGCAACAATTTTACCAATATAAGTCTATGTTTTATTTTATATTTCTTTTTTTTTTGTGTCTAGGTTTGTGATAGCACGTCCTGTCAAACAACCTGCTTACAAACGTAATTTAAATGTTTATGAGGTAACACTACATGCTGCTTCAGTAAGGTTTACAGATATAAAGGTTCATTACTCATCCCCCGTAGGTAATAGCGTGATAATATGTAGCCTATGTGATGAACCGACCTGTCAGTTATGTTCATGCAAAATTTCAATTTAATCCATGCAGTACTTTTTGAGTTTATCCGTAACAAACATACAGACAAACAGACAAACAGACAAACAGACAAAAATTCTAAAAACCATATTTTTGGCTTCAGTATCGATTGTACATCACGCCCCAAGTATTATTTCAAAAATATATTCAATGTACAGTTTTGACTTTCCTACGATTTTATTATATGTATAGATTATAAGGTTACATTTTATTAACTACACTTGCAGCTATGGTATTTCCTAATCCAGTTGCAAAAATAGAACATAGCTAGCATAGTTTAATGAAAAGAGGATCCGAAATAATTGCAGGAAAAAGGGTACCTTTGTAAGCTCATCTTCGCACTGGTTCACCGGTAAAAACTGTGACTACCTAAACAATCTAACTGGGCTACCCCTAGCCAGGGCAAGGCGAGAATGAAACTCTTACTGACTAAACACCACCCCGTTCCTTCTCCTGATCCGAGCTGGTTTCCCAGTACATTATTGTGCTTGCACCCGTAATCCGTGCTTAATCAAGAGGATAAGGTTAAATGAAATGGAGAAGAAAACGAGTGGAAGCTAGGTGTCCTCATCCTCAATAGATCAAAGCTGTATTTTACTTCGGCGTATTCCCTGTTTCTATATAAAGCGCTGACTCTGTCATATATTGAATACTGGGCTCAACTTCAGACTGGCCCACCCCAATACCAGCTTCTTCAGCTTCTAGAACGCATTCAAAGATTCAAAAATATTCAAGCTCTGAACTATAAAGAACATTTTTGCATAGTTCGCACGTTGATACGCAAATATGCAATATATTCGTTATGCCTATTGTTAAATTTGATTATATTAATATGGTACAAGGTTAGCAAAAATTATAGTTTAATTGTTTTACCTATGGATCTGAATGTCGTCGTGTGAATCGGAGGTTAAGGCCTTTTCTAAACTTTATCTTTGTTATCTAAAACGTTGTCTGTTGCTGTAATTATAAGTATTGAAGTCAATCAAGCGTAGGTATTGTCTTAGATTAAAATTCGCCTAAAACAACAATTTCCCACGATTCAAGCCAAAAAACTAATACGGAAAGAAAACAATCAGACAGTATAGACGGATACAGAAATCAATAACCTTCTAATCCAAGGTTACGGCCACACCAAATTACTTAACGTTGCAAATTGCACCCTATGGCATTAGTAATAGAGTGTACTGGCAATAGTTTGGCCAAGACAATTGATTTCTTCCGTGTGACAGATTTCGTTTAGTACCGGTGACCTGAATGAAGTCAAGCAATTTCATTGAGGACTGGACAATGGTCGGATGGCTGTCCATTCGCTTGGAACTTGTAAGTTCAATAATTTATCGCAATCTTTTGTTTACTTAGTTTGTTGGAGTTATTGATTTGTTATGAATAGAGCTGATATGGCTTCAAACAAACAATCTGATTACCTGATGGTAAGCAATCAGCGCTGCCCATGGACACTCGCAATACAAGAGGAGGAGCAAGATCATTGCCGGCGTCTTGGGGATTAAGGATTTTCGGGGTTCAAAAATTGGGAAAGTTTGGGTTTGGTTCTCACATGCTACGAAAAAAATGTTGTTTCACGCCAGTTTTCTGTGCGGCCGTGGTATCACTCCGTCCGAGCCGGCCCATGCCTGATCGTGCAGAAGTATGGCTCTCCCTTACTTGGATCTTTTGTTTTGTACGGTATTTTTTTATTAAAGCCATTCGAATTATTTTTTCACCCCCAAAATCCTTTACTTGCATCGAAATCTTTGAACCCATTGTCGAGATCCTGTGTTGAATATTTATAAGATACCATATCGATTGACTGAAAAAAAACATTTTATTTTTTTGGAATGTAATGCATTAATTAAAATAAGCCTGACTGAAAAACTAACCTAAATACCTCTTTAAGTAATATCTCAATACTTATTGGAAATATTTGTGCGAAAGTAATAAATCTTTGACTTTAAAAAAACTAACTAATCGTGATACTCTCCATTTCTCAATATAAACACCTCCAGCGTAATTACTACACATACAGATTTGTGATCTTATTTTTACAGATTTCATTAACATCTATTAACAAGTTTCGAAATTATCGAGTATCTAGTAAACCAATAAAACTGCTTTTGAGACAAATTACCATACCACGTTTATCTAGGAATTCAATACTTGCAACCTAGGTACTTACTTTTATGAGAAACAAGTATGGACCAAGAAGTATTGTACACTAAGTTCCGCCGGCGGCTTTGCCCGCGTGGTATGTTAAGAAAAAGTAGCTTATGTCCTATTCCGAAGTTCATCCTGTGCCAGTGCCACATTTCATCCAGATCCGTCCAGCCGTTTCGGCGTGATTGTGTAGCAAACATCCAAACATCATAATTTTCGCATTTATAATACATATTAGTAACACGAAATTGCAATAGGTAGAAAAAAATAAAAGTTTTATTATCTTTTTATAATATACATATAGTATCAGATGTTAAGTGATCAGCCCACTCAAGGACACACGCAAAACTAGAAGAGTCACAGGCAAGTATCCAGCCTGTTATGAAGGAGTACGCTAGTTTCCTGTTTCTGCTGTTGCTCATTGCCCCACACTAGGATTTTCTCCTGTGTCGTGGTTGACCACCCAGACCCTATTGTTCTTGAAGGCTTGAAAGTCATATCATAATCGTTATATTATCAAATGACATAAAGGTTTAGGTTGGTAAATGGTCACATTTAAACATCCACATTCACTTTTCACTAGTTGTCCAACAAGTGTCATACTATAATAAGGAGTGAGTTAATTGCCATTTTAAGTGATAGAGCTTCGGCAAGAATAAGCCGGCTTTACCGGTCTTATAGAACTAGGCAAATGTTCAATCAATGGAGTTCCAATTCTCCAATCGCTCACAACCAAATCCCCAATCTTTCAATCTTAAAAAACCCCCAAAAAGCTGGCAACGCACTCCTGCAACTCCTTTCATGCTGAGGGTGGTCATGGCCAGCGCCTATGACCTGCCATCAGACGATACCTCTGCTGGGTTGCTAATCTATCCAATGAAAAATACACCAATTATATCTAGTGCCACCGATACACCAATTACAGCTAATACTTGGCCAAATACGGAGTCTATTATTTCACTCCATGACCCGTCAAACAAGAATCCGAATTGAAACTAAGTAAGTATCAATTACTACCATTCTATTTCAACCAAAACTATTACCTCTAATCAATGACTAGATACAGAACAATAGTAGTAAGAAATCATCGGATTGATATGCGCATGAGTCGCTGACTGTCGTCATTCTGCAGGCTGCGTCCGCGCAACGCGCTCGCGTGTTTACATTCAAATTAAGAACGAATTGATCGTGTTATAGATCGATGTAATTTGGAAATGTGGAAGACTTTTTAGGACGTTCTAGTGTTTTTTAGTTTTATTTTTTTTTCTGTGTTCTTATTTTTTTTTTTATTGGAGGTTATTGTTGCTGTTAACATGTTCCGATACGTGGTAAGATTTTGTTTTTACTTCGTTTGTTAATTATAATAATTATTCAGAAGCTAAGTAGTAATAAACTAATATTGTTTTTTTTATTAGTTAACATTTTTTATTACGGTTTACGGGATTGTTAATAGAAAAAATGCTATTTTTATTTTGGAAATATTTTTAAATGACTTATTTAGAAGGCTAGCAAGACATTAATAAAATACTATTGAAAGTATAAGCACGTAAAATGACTTTAAGTTCACATACTATTGCTAGTAAAAATCATGAAAAATATATGCACAGATAATGGTAAAACCTCATTTTCATTTTCTCAAAGAGAGATTTAAAAAAAGTACGATTGACTTTTTCTCTCGTTCTTCTCCATTCTCATCTAAACTTTGGAACACCACCTAGCTACACCGAGGAAAGAACTAGCAGACTATATTCTAGTTTGACGCTAATACGATGATAAGACGGCATTATAATATTTTTAATATAATTCTAATTATGTTATTGTAATAGATAGTTTCGTTCTTACTCTACTAGGTTATCACTTTATTTTTAAGAATGCTGGTTACCTGTAATTGGCGACTGTATAAGGCCAAAACCTAATGTTTCATTGTTTTATTTAATTTGCTATATACAGAAGCTGTTGGTGCACCTTTTTTAACCGACTTCAAAAAAGGAGGAGGTTCTCAATTCGACGCGTATTTTTTTTTAAATAAATAAATAAATAAATAGAAAGCCTATCCGACTCCACAAAACAACTTAATGGATTCGATTCTCATATCGTGTCATATTTTACTATACACATCATGCTATTCAAAAAATGATGTGCTTATTTACATGTTTCTATTTACTCTCGAATATTAAGTATATTGGTTATTCCTATATGGAGCAAGCAGAGATGAGTATTAAAAACAAAAACGGATTGTTATGCCCTGGATACAATTCTACAGCTAGGCAAGAGGCTGCTGCGCAACGTAATACAGGGTCGATTCGAGCAGGAGCACGGAGGAACTCTTTGTGTGATCTACAGATGGTTCTTTCGGTTCTAAGGCCCCAGTACACAATGGCCCATGCGGGTCCACTGCAGGCCATCGCCATTGTGTACAGGGGGTAATGGTATATGATGGCGGACAATGGTCAATCGTGGCGCGTAATCGGGGAGTTGTCGGTTTTTTGGGCACACTTCAAAGGAATCGTGGCGTAGCGTGGCCTGTGGTGTTTACACAATCGGCCATTGTTTAGTTCGTCACCGGCCGCTGACCGTTATAGTACACTTTTGCGTTGCGTGCTAGAACTAAAATTTTCGATCGTTCAAAATGTCAATATCGTGGAGCAATGAAGAAACTTTCAAGTTTATTGATTTATATCAATCTGAGCCCGCAATTTGGGACCCAAATAATGCACTGCACAAGGATAAGAACAAGGTATGTTTATACTATTTTTATGTTGATAGAAATTATGTAGACTATCTATCTATACTTCAATACTAATATTATAAAGAGGAAGGACTTAAATTGTTTGTTGGAATTGAATAGGCTCCGAAACTAATGTACCGATTTGAAAAATTCTTTTAGCATTAGAATCCTACATTATCCCTGATGAAAATAAGCGATAAAAGAGCCTCGTCTGAAAATAATATGTAGTATTGTGGGTACGATGTTTTCAGGTGAATGATGCATGGAATCGCATTGCAGACTCCCTGCAAATTCCTGTTTCGGAGCTTAAAAAAAAGAAAGAGACATTAATGTCAGCATTTCGGATGCATTTAAAAAAAAAACAAGATTCGATCCGATCTGGTATGGGAGAAGAAGAAATTTATAAGCCAATTTGGGTTTTTTATGATGCTATGGAGGCATTTTTGAAAGGAAAATATACATGCAAAAGTATTACATCGACAGATGAACAAAGGGTAAGTAAAACAATTAAATAGTTTCCAATATTTTTTATTAATTAGTAGGTACGTATTTACTTATTTTGATTTCCACAAATTATAAACTAACTAGCTTTCCGCCCGCGGCTTCGCCCGCGTGGAATTCGGTTATATTAAATTATGCATCATAGGCCCTACCACTGCATAGTCGACTTTGATGGATGTAATTCATAAAATTTGATCTTATTTGCGTAGCATTAATAGGAGGCCGACGAGGTACAGATTGTAATGGTAATAGATTTTCTTCATGGTTTACTCTCATACCTACACGGATTAATTCACCATTCCTATCATAGCTGTCAGTACTGCCTGGTGGAGTATAAATATTGCGAGATGATTTGCTCTTTCTTAAAAAATTGTGTAGTAATAAACAGCTGTGGGTTATAATTGAAGTTTTAACGACATCTAATGGAATAGGTCTTTTAAATACTCTAAAAACTGACGATAATATCCCGAAAGTATTCTCTACGACCGCACGAGAACGTGATAGTTGTTGATTGAACATTCTTTCTGGGGTACCTAACAGATGATGTCCAGGAAAGGGCTTCATAATATGAGTACTAAGAGCAAAAGCGCCATCACCCAGAAAAACATAAGGCATATTAATATTACTTCCAGGAAGTGGGCAACTAGGTGGTAAATTAAGGGTCCCATCACATATTTTTTTCCACAAATTGCTTTGATTTAAAACACCTCCATCACTAATTCTCCCTTGGCTTCCTATGTCAGCAAACAAAAAACAGTAATCGCTATCTACTAGGGCTAATAAAACGATGCTGAAACTTCCTTTGTAATTAAAGTATTCGGATCCGGTATGAGCTGGTGCTAATATGGTAATATGCTTCCCATCTATCGCGCCAAGGCAATGGGGAAAACTGAATCCTTCCGTTTTGGTCAGCCATTCTTCAGGACTTGAGGGAATCTGAAAAAATAAATATATTTTTTTCAGGCAGTCATTGGACAACAGACAGAAGAAAAAACGGAAACTCCAAGTGATGCTAGAAGCAATACAGAAACTAAGGACATGAATATAAAGATACCTGTACAGAGGAGACGTTCAGTTAAGCCACCTGAGTTAGAAAAAGCAGATAAGGAAATGTCAAAGGCTTTTAATACGTTAAACCAGGCTATTCTCAATAAAGACCAACAAAATAAAAAAGAGGACGACTGCGACTTGTATGGGAGGCTTCTTGCTAACAAACTCAGAAAATATTCAGATAATGAGAGACAAGACATAATGTACGATATTGATGGATTACTATTAAAACGGCGTCGCAATACTAGTCCTCAGTACGTGTCTTCACCTTCTCAAATCATTATAAGTAAACGTCCGTCTTCTTCAGCCACCAGCTATTCTTGTCCATCACCGTCGTCACCTTGGATCAATCACCCCTCATCATTAACGTCTTCAAATCATTCTTATATAATTACTTCTCCTATACAAAGCCCATCACCTATTCCACCTGCGCAAACTCCATCCCCTCTTCCACCTACTGAACTCCCTAATGCCTTATACACGCAAGAAGTAGTTCATCAATCCCCCAACAGAATCCATACACCTGTCTCTACGATCCATATACCTGAGGGATCCATGCAAATAATTTCTGACGAATTGTATTCTCAGACACAGAGTCAGTCTCAAAATGTTTTGGCTGATGCTTATGCAAGAGCTTTGAATAACGATTATTAAAATAACCAATTAAGAAAATGTAGTGGGGCAGTAATTATTGATTAAAAAATTTAAAGTGTATACAAATGTTTTATTAACTCACCTTAATCATGTCCTTTAGCACTTGGTTCAGAGCCAAACATACTTCAGGAATAATTCTAGATATGAGTGTACTTGATATTTTAAAATGGTAGTGCAGGCTCCTATAACTGTCTCCAGTCGCAAGAAATCGCAATGTCAATGCCAATCTTATTTTTGGAGGTATTGCTTCTCGCCAATATGTATCCTTTTTTGCAATAATTGGCGATATTTTTTGCAATATATATTCGAAATCACTAGATGACATACGAACAAAGTTATCGAATTCCCCTGATGGTTCTGCAACAAGGTCGCCTAACAGATTGTCCATGAATTGCCTGAAAACGGTAAAACAATTCTTATTCATGTTACGTTAACATTCTAAATATTAATATCATAACATAAGTACCACATTAAAAATTCTACGTACCTTGTCCTGTTTCGATGAATGGTCAGCATCCACCATCGCCTTTTTCGCCATTTCTTTTTAATAACTTTGTGACGGTATACACTTCTGTAATACTTGTAAACAGTATACAAATAAATAGCCGCAGCCGTAATTACTTCGACGTCCATCGCAAGTGGTTTGCCAGGCAGCAGTGAGCCATGCGCCATTGTGTGAACACCAAGTGATCGTGGTCTACAATTGTGCATTGCAAAGCGTGGCCCATCACAGGCCATTGTGTACTGGGGGCTCTAGGTGTGATGTGTACGTGAGCTTTTGTGTGTAAACACACCTTTTTTGTGACTGGAAAATCATCTAATGACTTCTTCCACCCAGGGCCGGGCAGGAGGGAGTGTCAGACTCTTACTGACTAAAAACCCCCCGTTCCTTCTCCTGCTCTGGAGGTCGCGGTGCCTCGTGGTGCGCTTACCCCGCAACCCCAGCTGAACATCAGCCCTATAGGGCCCCATCTGTGGTGGTCTATTGGGTCTTTGAAACGCGCGCGGAACGCTAAGCGCCGTACGCTCGGGTGTGTAAACACACCTACGACATAGGATATATCCAAACGAGGGTTCAAAGTATTCAGCTGGGGCTGCAGGGAAGCACAATATTTTACTGCGGCCCCGGCCTGGAGTAGAAGGAACAACTTGGTTTTTAGTAGTTAGAGTCTCAAACTCCCTATCGCTCCACCCAGGACGGGAGAACTCACCTGTCAATTTTTCTCACCCCACAAAAAAGGGAAAAATAGTATATAATCTAGACTCCCTGCTAAATCTAAATTTTGAAACTAAGCACTAAGACCTAGTCGCAGTTGCTTGCGACCAACTGCCAAAATGGCAATCAAGTGGGTTAATTTAAATTATTGCGTGATTACTCTCATTAATCATTTGTTT